TGGTGAGTAGACATATATTTTACTTTAGCAATTTGTTTAACTTGCACCAAATGTAACAGGGAAAGACAGAGGAAAGTGAATATATAGCATGAGGATCGACGCAGCTGAGCGTTTCGCGTTTTCGTTTATGTACGGCAATACTCAATTTCGCACAAAAACCCAGTCTACATTTAGGACGAAAAAGGTAGATTTATCACTCTTGGTAAGGTTACACTGAAGCAGTAAAGTTACACTGAAGCATTCAAAATAGCTCATGCACGTTTAACGTGCCTATGTTTTCCCTAAGCAGCTGTTTATGGTGGAATACATGTAGATGTCTGTGACTAGGAAAGGGACATAAGGCCTCTTTTCCCTAAGGGAAAAGTTGGCTTAGTTGGTTATTTTATGTCCTGTTTCTCACAGGACTTAAACTAGGATTGTCAAAAGTAGCCGGCTGCCGGCGAAGATCGCTGCCTTCTTGGTTAGTATCAGCTGTCTACTCTGCTTGGCATTTCTTCACAGATGGCATCTTTTAAATAAAATATCCCTGGACTGGCCGCTTACTTTGACAACTCAGCCATCTACTTCAAACCTTTCTGACCACCCTGTTAAAAAAACCAACTACGCAACAAGCAAGAGACACGAATGACTTCATAAATGTCAAAAGCCATGCAAGAGAGAAACCTCCGCTCATCGAGTTTAGCTGTCATGTAGGTTAAAAAAGAGAGGGAGATTTTCCTATCTGAACAGTCATTTTATTAGGAAAAGTATCATTTTAATGTTCATGAGTTCTTCAAGAAATAAATTCATACTTTTGTAGCAAAGCTCAGTAACAGACGTTTCTGTTGGTTTCCAGCCTCTATTTTGGTGCTCTCATTTAGCTGGATGGTCACCAACATGGCATCTCCTTTTAAAGCTCTGTTATTTCTCCTGACATCTCACATAAAATAATAATGAAATATTGGCATTGACCTGATTAGCAAGGATCTTTGTATAGGTACCTCCTTTAATTTCCCAGATTCTTTACTTTACCTATTGAACAGTTTTCATTTTAATAATTATTTAATGGCATAACAGGGAAAAACAGCAATACAGTTTGTAGGTGACAGTGCAGACCCCCAAGGTTGTCAGAAATTTTTGAAGTAGATGGCTGAGTTGTTAAAGTAAGTGGCCAGTCAAGGGATATTTTTATTTAAAAAGCATCATCTGTAAAGAAATGCCAAGCAGAGTAGCCGGCCGATACTAACCAAGTAGGTGGCGATTTTTCCTGGCAGCCGGCTACTTTTGACAACCCTGGACCCCAAGGGGGATACTCCAGATTTCAAGTGACAGGGGTGATCAAAGGATTTTTGGGGTTTGAAATTTTGGATTTTGGTTTTTTTGGGGGTTGGAAAATTTGGCAAGTATTTTTTTGGGTAGCTTGATCCACGTGTAGGGATTTTTTGAGGGTATTCAAAACCATCTGAAGATTCGTGATAATTCCCACATATCCCAGCTGCATAGTTCTGCAAATAAATTTTTATGGCTCACATTTTGGGGGGGGTTAAATTTTGGTCCAGGAATTTTTTGGGGATTTGTTTGAAGCTCTAGGGATTTTTTTGGGTTTTGATGCCCCCATTCAATAATCCCTGTCACTTGAAATCCTGAGTACCCCCACCCCCCCAACCCTGGGTTGCAGACCACCAGTCATTCTGTTTTAAATCTACTTATCCCAGATTTCTAGGCAGGACTTGTTTTGTCATTCATTAAAGTGGCTGTGTCAAGGCTGCCTAGTTTTTTTCACATGCCAGTTACGTGTCTTTATTTGTTATAGAACTTGAGAAATTACTTGTGAATGACAAAATCAGAGCTGCATCACAATCAAATAATTATGTCACCCAAGCATTTATTATCAAAAGTTAAAAACATCAAAGTGAACTTTAAAAACTGTTAGGCTAACAGGTTTACAAAAACCACAATTNACTTGTGAATGACAAAATCAGAGCTGCATCACAATCAAATAATTATGTCACCCAAGCATTTATTATCAAAAGTTAAAAACATCAAAGTGAACTTTAAAAACTGTTAGGCTAACAGGTTTACAAAAACCACAATTGAAATCTGTTTCAATCTTCTTCAAGTTTGTCCATCTGTGCCTCCTTTTGTATTTGCAGTGTTAGTATGTGTAATCAAATGGTGACGAGTGAAATTAGGGAATAATTTCACGCCCGTTTTGTCCAAATCCTTATAATTTCCCGAGCCTTTAGGCGAGGGAAATTATTAGGATTTGGACAAAACGCTAGTGAAATTATTCCCTAATTTTACGAGTATACCATTTGATTACCTATTAATATCATGGGTGACGAATTACCATAGCAATCAAGGACTTTTGACTTGTTTATCCTGGATCGTATCGATCGATTGTGAACTCCACTCTCTCAAACGTTTAGGGCTGAAATTTGGCTTAAGTTATCGGAATTTTTCGACAACATACCTCTAAGAATCCTTCTTGATGTGCTCTTTTGTGTGTTCAGGTTTTCTAAAGCATCTTTTTATGCCCTGACATCTTCATTCATGACATTTTAAAACTTCGTCGCCATCTTGAAATGGAGACGTACGGCAGGTTGCCATGGCAATTTAGTAATTTCACATGTGAAATTACAAATTAACGCTAAAATTTCGTGCCAAAATTAAGGAGTAATTCGTCACCTATGATATCATAATTTACACCTTCTTTTCATGTTTTGAGCAGTTTTTTTATGTTTGCAATGGGTGCTCTTCTTGTTAATGTTTGATGCATGGTGTTCATTATGCATCAAAGATGAGAGAATTCTCTGTTTACTACGCAAAATTCTCCGGCTAATGTTCAGTAGCCCATGACTATTTTTTGTCAAGACGAGGAGCCTCTTTCAAATATTCTCCAGTAATGTTGCTCATTTCCCCTGCTACCAGAATTCAT